TTGGGAAAAGTGAAACTCTTGATTTATCAAAACTCTGAAGAATTTCATTGAATGATTTTTACATGCAAGATAATACCAGGTCTGTGTTCTTAACCACTTCCCGGCTCCTAATCCATTTAAGTTGTTAAACCAGGATCATGACGGCAGCTACGGTCAAGAACCCAGTGTAGCACTACCCTCGAGAGGGCCACTTATATGTTTGTCCTGGTTTCCCCTTGCTTTGCCCCACAGCCAGACACACAAACACACTTAGGCTCATTGGAATTTTGCAGTTTTATTGTAGAACTGAGGATAGGGATAGAAAATTTTAGTAGGATACTCAAATATGAAATATTCACATTGAGGACATATAGTGTATCTCTTAGTTGAGCATTATAGAAGTCCGGGCTGAAAGCAGACAGCAGACTTCTCTTAAAAATGTAACAGCAGATAGTTTAAAAGTGAGCCAAGTCCCTTTAGCTGTAGTAGTAGTAGCAAGGATGAGATCCTCAGGTACAGGCTTGTTACAGCAGACTATGGCAGTCCAGGAGTGATGGAACTGAGCAATTTCCTTTGAAGTAGCAACAGTTGGACAAGCTCTTCAGAACATTAGGCTAGTGTTCCCTTTTCTCAGACTATCAAGCATCAGAGGGGTAGCAAAGCACACAGGTCCCCAAGATCTCTTAGTGTCTGTACCCACAAGCCCAAAGACAGAATGGCAACCTCCTTCTAATCTTCCAAGTGACTCTCTCTCCAGTGATACCAGACAGATCCTTGGCAGATGGTTCCCCTCAGTCAGCGTACTATAGGACCAGAGTCACTCTCTCTCTAGCTTCAACCCACCTGAGGCCACATGGCAGCAAGTGCCAGTTAAGGCAGCCTGGTTTGGTGCAATCCACTCCCAGGAAAGAAGCTAAACCAATGCGCTCACAGAACATAAATGCCACTCCCAGCATGCAATGGGGTCACCCTACCCAGCAATTGGCCAGGGCCGTAGCCATATTCATGCTGCTCATTTCCCTACCCATGTTCTGGAAGGCTCTCATAGCTTCCTGAAGGTGGGCAGAATTCAGATAAACCCAAACAACATCAAAGCAACGTGAGGAGACCTGATTAATCAATCACAACACTCTGTTAAGCAGAATACCACACTGAATTTACCTGACTGGAACTCTGGTTATACAGCTATGCTTAACCTAACTATATAAATCCTAGCACCCGACTAGGAGGGTGCTACACTAGGTATAGTTTTTTCAGCAGCAGATTCTCTTCAACGTAAATGTAATCCTAGTGGCTATGCAACAGCTGTTTTACTTTTACAGGAGGCGGAAGGGGTCCTCCCTCCTGCCGGAAATGCATTTACTGGGCTCTCCAGAGCTCCCAGGGAGCTTTGTATGGGTGTGACTGGTTGCATCCAGTTCCTGGGACACAGTGAGAGGAACTGGTGTTAAGAATGTCATAGCTTTCGGCTTCAGTCTCATGAAAACAAGCCATTACTGGCTTGTGAAAGCATCAGATCAAACTGATTTCAATTTGATCTGATTCTTTGGAGGGCAGAAGAGAGATATAGGGTCTCATAGACCCAAGATCTCTTTGTCAAGAGGACCTGTCATGGCCCATGATATCGCAAGGGATGTTGTTCATCCCTTGTCATAGCAATAACAATGATTAAAAAAATTAAAAAATAAATCATATGAATAAAAAAAAATTATAAATCTTTGTGCATCCTCCTATGTCCACATGCAAAGACAAAAGCATGCGTTGGTCCCGCACACATATGTAAATGGAAATCACACCACACATATGAGGTATTGTCATGAATGTTATAGCAAGAGCAATAATTCTAGTGCCAGATATCTCGTGTAACCTTAAACTGGTAATCTGTAAAGACTTTTAAAGCATCACCTATGGAGATTTTTAGGTATCATAGTTTTTCGCCATTCCATGGGTGTACACAATTTTTCAAGCATGACATGTTTGGTAAAATATAAAAGATTATGTTACACTGAGTAAATAGATACCAAACAATTTGGTATTAGATTGTGTTTTTACACAATAACATTCATTAAAGTGTTTCTTTTTCCAAAAAATGTGTGTTTGAAAAGCCTCTGCGCAAATATTGTGTGAAATAAAATTATGCCCATTATACCCACCATTTTATTCTCTAGGGCCTCTGCTTAAAAAAGATATAATGTTTGTGGGAGTCTAAGTAGTTTCTAGCAAAAAAAATGCAGATTTTTACATGTAGAAAAGGTTTTTTGCCAATTGGTTTTGATTTTCTTACACATTTTACTCTATTTTCTTATAACACAGATTTCAACAACTTAGTGAGATACGCTTTCCTAAGATAGTGGATACAGTTCTAGTGGGCAAATATCTAAAACACCTTCAATAGCAAACTATTACCTACAGTTTACATTTTATCAATTCATTGCATTTTGTTCTATTTCCTTGACATTTTACTGAATATTTGTACCTACTTGTCTACTACAATGTCTCTACTTCTGCCATACAGATGTAAACACTAGAGCAGATGTAAAGTCATCTAGAATTATGCTTTTGGGTCATGGAGGAAACCAGAAGAAAATGAAAATCCTGAGAAAACATACATACCACATGAAGACAATGGGGTTGATTACTAAAACTGGAGAGTGCAAAATCTGGTGCAGCTGTGCACGGTAGACAATCAGCATCTAACTTCAGCTTGTTCCATTGGTTTCTATGCAAAGCTGCACCAAATTTGCACTCTCCAGTTTTAGTAAATCAACCCCAATGTCCCTAATGGAAATTCAACTCCTGACTACAGCACTGCAAAAGAAGTGTGCTAACCAGTACTACTTCATCAGTTTATATGCAAAATAATAGATGCATACTTTGTTTTAGCTTAATTCAAAACTTATCATATTTGTGTTAAAGTATATCAGTGGTATATCAATATTGTTATGTGTAATTATGTGTTTATGCATGATATGTTTAAACAGGAGCTGCCAAGTATTACCTATGATATTTTATAGATACTGTAGGATAACACAGGAATTTGAATTCAGGAGAGCTGCTTAAATTAGTCTGTTATATCCTTTATATGTAGTTACATAGTTCACTTGTAAAAATATCAGTGAGTTAAACCTTGCATACTTAGAAACCTTGACCCGCTCACAACTTTTAGCCCCCAACTCAGCTTTGCAGAATCCAGGACCACTGTTTTATGTGTAGTTGGGCAAGAACCACTGCACAATTCTTCTGTGTAAAAAGCAATCTTTTTGGATCTTAAGGTTCTGTTACTTTAGCTTTTTCTGGTAAACCTTTGCTTTATTCAACCCCTCATTTTCCACTAATGTGCAGAATAACAGCAAGGCATCTGGCATTTTTGATGGCCAACAATGGCAGCTCCCATAGTTGCTGCTTGACTGTGTTACTTTACCCTCAGGGCAGAGATGAAGAAATTAATCCAGCACAAAAGGGTCCTGGTAAGTAGAAGATTTGCATATCTCTGTGCCATGCTATCCCTTTTATGACCAGAAGTCATTGAGGCATCGGTGCCCAGACCAAAATTAGTAGCATAAGCATGTATCAATTATGTAGGCAACTACTCTGCAACTAATTTTATACTAATACTGTTAGTATCAAAGGACACTGTGAATAATGAGGGCACTCTGAGTAACAAAGGGAAATGTGAATGCTGAGGGGTGCTGTGAGGTCCAAGAGGAACTTTGAAATCTGAGAGACCCTGTGAGGACTGAAGTGCACTGGGAGAACAGCTTGGCGCAATGAGAAAGTTGGTTTAAGGTTGGAGCTTTCATGTCAGCAACTAATTTTCAACAGCTAGTGCAAGTTGATAGTGCAACTAATTTTCAACAGCTAGTGCAAGTTGATAGTGCTCTAAAATCAAACATGCTTATCTCTATTAAGTTAGTGGTATACATATCCTCCATGAGTAGCAATGCTACAGGTGCACATTTTTTTCAGTGTAAATGAAAGCAATACAATTGTTTGTAATGCTATTTATGCTATATAAACATGTGGTACATGTCGTACCATCTATCAAATAAAGAACAGATGGCAGCAGATTAGGGATAGAGATGTATTCTCACAAAGGTGTATAAGTTGAGCTGTTGGGAGAGGGGTGTGATCAGTTTGGAGATTTGGCAGATGGATACCAGAGTGAAACTTTCAACAACATCAGAGTATTACAATGGTGGGGGATTTACTAAAACTGGAGCACAGAAAATCTGTCACTGCTGTGGCTACTAACCAATCAGTTAATAGGTGTATTTGTCAAATATTCATAGTAACCAAGCAGCTTCTACATTGAGTTTGTTCTTGCTGGAGAAGCTTGCAGCTGTTCATTAAACAAACAGATACACTATATTGCCCAAAGTATTGGGACGCCTGCCTTTACACACACATGAACTTTAACAGCATCCCAGTCCGTAAGGTTCAATATTGACTTCACCCACTCTGCAGCTATAACAGTTTCAACTCTTCTGGGAAGGCTGTCCACCAGGTTTAGGAGTGTGTCTATGGGAATGTTTGACCATTCTTCCAGAAGTGCATTTGTGAGGTTGAGGTCAGGACTCTGAGCACGCCAGTCAAGTTCCTCCAACCCAGACTTGCTCATCAATGTCTTTATGGACCTTTCTTTGTGCACTGGTGCGCAGTCATGTTGGAACAGGAAGGGGCCATCCCCAAACTGTTCCCACAAAGTTGGGAGCATGAAATTGTCCAAAATGTCTTGGTTTGCTGATACTTTAAGAGTTCCCTTCACTGGAACTAAAGGGCGAAGCCAAACCCCTGAAAAACAACCCCACACCATAATCCCCCCACTTTACACTTGGCACAATACAGTCAGGCAAGTATCGTTCTCCTGCCCACCATCAAACCCAGACACATCCATCGGATTGCCAGACAGGGAAGCGTGATTCTTTACTCCAGAAAACATGCCTCCACTGCTCTAGAGTCCAGTGGTTGTGTGCTTTACACTACTGCATCTGACACTTTGCATTGCTCTTGGTGATGTAAGGCTTGGATGCAGCTGCTTGGCCATAGTAACCCATCCAATGAAGCTCTCTATGCACTGATGTGGTATTAATCTAAAAAGCCACACGGAATATGGAGGTCTTTAGCTATTGACAGACAGTTGACATCTTCTGCGCACTGTGCGCGTCAGCATGTGCTGGCTCCGCTCTGTCATTTTACGTGGCCTACCACTTCATGGCTGAGTTACTGTTGTTCCCAGTTGTTTCCAATTTGTTATAATACCACTAACAGTTGACCGTGGAATATTTAGTAGCAAGGAAATTTCTTGGATAGACTTATTGCACAGGTAGCAACTTATCACAGTACTACGTTGGAATTCACTGAGCTCCTGAGAGCGACCTATTCTTTCACAAATGTTTGTAGAAGCAGTCTGCATGTCTAGGTGCTAGATTTTATACACTTTTGGCTGTGGAGGTGATTGGAACACCTGAATCCAATGATTTGGAGGGGTGTCCCAATACTTTTGGCAATATAGTGTCCAATGATATAGAAATAGCTTAGCAAAATATACCATCAAAATGACTTCAAAGTGTAGTGAACAACAACAGGCACAACTCTTTCCATGCTGGATAGTGAAGGTGGGGTTGTTTTTTTGTAATCTCTGTCCCATTGGTGAGATTTACCCTCTATTAATAGGTCAAGTCAAAATATGGGATTTTTTAGTCCTTTCACTTTCAGTGATAAGGAGAAACAGTAGAAATAGAGGCACAGACAGCAATAAAGTGTTCAAATCCCTCTCTGCTGTATCCAAAACAAAAACAGTGTTCCTTTAATTACATTTTATTGCAGTGCAATACAAGAGTCAGATAAAAAATTTACATTAGACATTAAACTGGTGGCTATAGTTTAATGTAATAAAAAAGGCAACAGCAGAGGATTTGTCCATTGCTGGAGTAGGAGAAACTAATTTGGCATCAACATCTGCTGAACTTCTTTGTAAGTTGACAACAGTTAGTTTGGAAATATATAAATGTACCTCAAGCGCTTACTATGGTCAATAGATCAATTTCATAAGTATATAAATGCAGTAGCCACTAGTGCACACAATCTATGTCTCAATAGGCTGAATAGTGGAATGGTGTATATAATAAGTGCTGCGCTACACAATTAAAGGTTAAAAAAAATTTATATGAAATTATAACTGTATAAATCTCTTAACACAGAAAGTTAATATAAAATTAAAATTCAAATAATAAAAAATAAAAGTCCAAACAAATAGAATTCTTCTGTGGACAATCCTTATCATTACGACCACCATGTGCAGCTATCACAGGATGCAGGTGCTTACTATCCTCCACCATTTATCTGCTCACCTTCAAAAGTGTGACCTCACATTATACAATGTTTTGTTCTAACTGCACTTTTGGTCCCAATAGTATGGACTCTGAAGTTCAACTTGCTGAATAGTAGCTACAAAAATGACCACTCCAGATAACTGGCTAGGATCAGCCTTGTTCCTTTTCTCATCAGTATTTAGAGTGTTGTGACTTCTATCAGTGTCCAGCTGAGCACTGGTTAAAACTAAGGTTAGGTTGGAACTAGAGGATGCTGGCAGTTGACTACCTCAACACCCACATAAGGTTGTTGTTCTGTAGAATGTTGATATCATTCTTTTGAGAAGGAGTGAAGGCTACAGTATATCTGGAACATCTGCTTGATCAGAACACAGTGGGAGGGTTCCTTTATCTTTAGGGTAATCTACAAGAGCAAAAGATACTGGATAATTTTAATTTTGTGTCATCTCCTCCACTTCTTGAAAAGTCCATAATCAGTCCAGTGCTGTGCAAAGATGCTCCATGTTCACCTCTAGGGAAAGGTTGCCACAGCAGCATTTTATTCTGAAGGGGGGAGGGGGAGTGCCTCCTGACAGCATAAAATAGCACAGCAAGGGAGATCCCAGCATCAACATTGAACATGGGTAGTTAACATATTGAATATTTGCTAACATGATTAATTACCTTTCTGATTGAGTAAGGTATCAAAACCTTTTGCCAATCCTTTCACAGTCTCTTTATAGATGAAGGGCACCAACATTTTTTACATTTCTTCATAGTCCAACACATGTACACAAGATCTTAACCCACCACCATTTTTTTTTGCCTAGAAGAAATGAAGATGACCGATCTTTAGGGCTATTATATCTTTTCAATGTTACTTTTTGGCAGAAAAAAAAATAACTCAAAGTTTTAGGTGGTCCGTGTAACTGGTGACTAACAACTACATTTGAATAATCAATATACTAGCCACCACTGCACTCACTGGGATTTTGCAAGCTCTTAGCTCATACACAGTAGGTGAGATATTGGTAAAATAATAAAACCAGTTGTTGTTCCTCTTTTTGGTGCTGTAATTAGCAGGAAGCCAAGATGGGTTTGATCTATTAAAAGCAAACAGACTGTTGACTTTGAAAGTGCAGTTGCCCCTTGCAAGTGGCATTGCCTCAGAGCTTAGTACATGAAGGTCATGCTTTACTTTATAAAGAAGAAACAATCACATTTAAGTAATACTACAAACTACAGATATGTCATTGGACATGATTTGATGATATTAGGAATATAAGGTGTACTTTAGATGTGTGTTAGATATGTAAAAATGAAGTGACATTTAGTAGACAGAGATTCTATACATTTTTAAGTAATGCTTTCTAATGTCAGTATACACAATTAGACTAACCTTCACAACCCATGCAATGCCATTTTCTTCTTTATGTTTACTTGGTGTCTTTTTCACATGTTCTTTAATACGGATGTGCTACTACCACTGTATTTACAGCTTGTATGATTTTTAACCATTGTTTTCTTTTCCAAGATTGATTTGTTTTCAGCATGTGGGGACCCATCAACCTCTTCTGTACAGGAACTAGATTTTCAACTAACGTCAAATTTTCATATGTACACTTCATATTGTGTTGGTGACCATCTGAGTGTTTCCTCTTCTTGTCAGGGGTAGTAGATATTTTCCTCACATTGCTTTCACTAGAAATTTCCCGCTGTCTTCTTTTTTTGGGTCTTTATGGAATTGTCTTCCTGTAAATGACACTGCTTTCACTTGACTATATTTAAACCTTTTTGTGATATACTATCTATAAAATAAATAAATATACATATAGATAAATAAAGTACATAAATCCTAAAGTGTCCAATTCAACAAAAGTCCCACATGTGTCTAATAAAATCCAAAGATCCAAATTTCCATCCTGTAAGAAGGATTGACTCCTATTAATCCAATGATACCTCAAAGAAATGAGAAATATACACCATAGTGCATTACCTTTTACATTTTCAAAATAAACCAATATTGTGCAAACACAAGATCATGCAAAAATGTGAAAAAAACCCAAACTTATATATGTATATATATATATGTATATATATATATATATATATATATATATATATACACACTAAACCCCAAGTTGTGAGCACTCTGTGATCAACTGCAACACTGTGAACACTCCGTGGGATAACACCCAATAGTGCTAGGTACTATTACCCTCTGTGAGTTAAATATACACATATCGATAATATGGGACCATAATCTTCCATTCTTCCTTTATGGAGACTCCTTCCAAGGTCCTCACAAAGACAAGAAGAGTCTTAAGACAGATCTCCAAGCATAGATAAATTTAATAGTAACTTACATTATAGTAACCAACTTCCAGCTCTGACAAAAGGCTTTCTGTAGAGGTTTACCAAACACTGGCACACACCATGTGTAGGTAACCAACAAAATGGCCGCGACGACACTTCCGGTTAGCGTACGTGCGTCTTGACGTCACCTCCCTAACGCGTTTCGTCACTTCCGGACTTCGTCTGAAGGGATACGGATGTCTCTTATGCCGCTCCTTTTATTCTTATGCCTCCCAATTACCAGAAGCGGGATCAGAAGAGGTCCCCCCGCCGGGTAATCTCCACCCAGATCTCCTGTACTTCCTACTACCAGACCGAACCACAACAACAAGGCCGGAGACACCGGAAACGAGGCTTGGCTTGTGCCCAAAACAAGGCTAGGACACTCCCAGAACAAAGCTGGGACTGTCTCAGAATGAGGCTTCATTTGAGGCTTCATTTCACTTGACTGCTGATCACTTTCGAGCATGTAAGTTTTGTCTGTAGCCTCAACTTCAGTTTCTGTACTGCTATCTATGTAATGAGCTTGAGTAGGTATTGAATGCTGTTTTCTTCTCTTTTTCAGTAGGGGTATTCTGTGAAAATTCTTCTTTGTCAATCTCCAAGATGGTGGATGTTTGTGTAAGACATATCTGCTTAGACATAGATGACATTACTAACATATTTACTTGTTTGACTTTACCATTCTCAGAGATTGATACTAACCTTGCTTTTGTTTATTCCAGATGAACCAGAGTTCGAGGGTGACTTGCTGATTCTAGGATTGGTGTCTTCTCTGACAGTGATGTCTTTGGGGCACTATAAAAAAATTAAATGTAGGTTGAAGTTGCTGAGCATTTCACATTGGAGATGACAATAAAAATGACATCTATTGCTTACTATCAACCTGGCTTGTTTTGATAAATCCCATTCCTGGTAGAGCTTTTCGGAATGCAGCCTGCAACTACAACAGAATCACAAAGATGTGCACTGAAAGGTGGACAAATGTGTAGTATTTTTTTTTTACAGGAGTAATTACATTCACAATAATAAGTTATGACTCTTACCTTTGGTTTTTTCACATTCTGGAATGTTTGTTCCATTTGCCTTTTCAGGGATTAATAGTTTGGGTGCCTAAGAATGAAAGAAAGTGTACAGAATTATTTCAAACTAACCACATTCCTGCAATAAACAATATACACATATTTGAACCAAACCATTCTACATTCGCCCCATTGGATATGACGACATGCAATAAATCACCAAATGATTTCATGAGATAAATACCGCAAATTTCAATGAAATACCACATGCTGTCATTTAGAATGTTTTTTTGTAAAGTGCAAAAAAGTTTCTTAAAGCATTACATACCACTTTGTGAATGGAGCCCTATGTCACTAATGAGATTTGTAATGATGTGGAGTCTTTATGATAGGAACGTCTAAGGAACAAAACAAAAGGTAAATTAATTGTGGATGTATATTATAGGCCTCCTAACCTCAAAGATGAAAAGGAGATACTGTACATCTTTCACGGTTTAAAAATGGCTGGGAAGCAGGGAAACGTTTTTATTATGTGGGCCTGCACCAATCCTGATATTATTGGGCTAAGAAAACTACACATTCAATCAGGGCTTGTCACTTATTGAATGTACTGCAGTACAATTTTAATGTTCGAAGACAAACTAGAAATATTCTCTGTTGGATCTAATAATTTAGAACAACACATAGCTTATTTCAAATGTAGAATTTAATGTTAAGACTGTATT